GTTTCTTAAAGCAGTGGATAAGAAATGAGCATTTATGTAAATTATGAATACATTTATTCTCATAGTTTGACGCATACATGTACGCATAAAACTTTATTGTAATTACAAAAGATTAAACCTATATAAACAAATTTTTATAACAAATGCAAACATTTTCACCTGTGTTGAATGGGCATTTTCAGGCAAACTAATCACCAAATGCTGAAAAGAAACAGGAGATTGTTGAACACATGCAGAGAAGAGGTGAGGTCAGACAAGAGAAACAGGGAGGGGGATATCTATTCCTCCAACTACGACATCGATGTAAAATTCTGCAAAGCATGCCTGTTATATAACTCTTCCAGGCAACCCTTTCTCAAACAACTTGAACAGACGGAAATAAGGCCACCTGCAAAAACCACTATTAACTTTTGCACTGTTGATAGTGATATGGGTGAAAACTAGTGTTGCAACGAATAGTATATTTGGCCTCAGGCCAAATACCGAATATTCGGCCAGGAGCGTGGCCAAATAGCCGAATATTCAGCCAAACTATTTGGCTTGATTAACACACGTACGAAAACTGGCGTACAAACTGCATTATGGCAAGGACCCTTCATCTCTATTGGCTCACGGTCACTACGCTTCACCAATCGCGTTAATTCTTGACAGTTCAGACAAGAGCATCATGGCAGTATGTGATAAGTGATGATATCAAATGTGGATAACAATGAAATGATCTGCATGTGTAAATAACGGAAGAAGAACAGAGAAGAACTGAAAAGTGAAAATGTGAAAATAAATATGAAATTGAGTTGATAACATAATCGAACAAGTCGAGGCTGCTTATTGGCCCGAAATTCGCGGCCGTCAATGCCAAACAATTGTTGTCATAGACTTCGAAAAGCTAAATACTTGTAATGAAAGTCACTTAGCATGCACGGGCGAAAGCCTGGGGTCGTTCAGGTTACCAAGCTGTTTCGAATCTGTGAAATCATAACTGTGACTTATATCAACGTCCTATCTGTCTCTTTTCTCCGTTATCACCAGGCTACGAGTCACGTAATTGTAAAATGGGAAATCTACGACAGAAAAGTGACAAATCGAAAGTATCATGAGGGCGTATTATGATGTATGCATAGGCATACGTGGACTAGAGCGAAAGAGAAAGGGAAGAGCAAAGACGAGTGCTTAAAAAGGATAGGCAGGGTCAGACCCTCAGATGTGCAACGATTCTCGAACGAATAGGTGTGTAGTGTGCTGATCTTTGTAATTATAAATTGTGAATACAAGTGACTAATATTATGTTCTTTTTTATTTTGTGCATGTTATAAGTTATAAATAAATATAAACAAACAACACTAACTCGATAACATTAAATCTAAATACCAAAATGATTAATTTACTGTGTTTTTGTTATTTCTTACTCCTGTTTTTAGGTATTCGGTATTCGGCCGAATAGCGAAAAATTGGCTGAATAGTAACTGAATATTTGTTACATCACTAGTGAAAACATTTCCAATTGTTATAAAAATTTGCTGGTAAATAGGTTTAATGTTTTTAATTATAATTTAACCAGTTTTAAGTGGCAGTTTTCAACTTTATTGTAGGTATACAATTAAAACTATTTCTACATAAAGAAATTTTCAAACTCTAAAATAATGACAATACTACATATTGACCAGAATTTGACAGCCAGATAGCTAAGTGGTCAAGGTGGCAGCCTACTGCTCCGGGGACCTAGGATCAAATCTGGACAGGTCAAAAAATCTCCAGGAATTTTTAGGGGGTAGTCTGACTGGATATGTTGGGCCTAGTTGAACCCATAATGGACATGCTATATAAGGCTCTCTTAGTGCCCACAGGGAGGAAAGAGTACAAAAAAAAAGAAAAAAAAAACCAGAATGGGAATTTTGTAGAAAATAAATAATGATACACAGATAGCACTGACATATACAAGTGAACAAAATAATTCAAATATTTCCTGTTTTACACAGTCAAACTGAACTCTTCCTGAAACACCTGCTATTAGGTACCACTCTTTTTTTCTCATTTTCATAGTTTATATCATTATCAATAAACATCATTACTTTTGCCATTGAAAAATCTATTTTCCTGTTTTTGGGATCTGATTATATCAGATCTAGCAGACTTCCAAAGGGAAATAACTGTTGATGTGTAAGGGGTTCTCTGACCCAAGATGCTGAATTGATGGTTGTAGTAAGATCTACTGATTCATGATCACCTATCAATATGCAAAGATAGGTAAAACATCTGCTGACAGAAGCAGCTATGGTCAAAAGTCAAAGCTAGATATCAGGGATAGAAGAGTAATTTGTCAAATTGTAACAAGAAAACAAAACTACAATAGAACGAATTTCTGCATAGTTGGTTGCAAGAGTACCAGTATCAGTGAAAACCATCAGATGTGTACTGCATAAAGATAATATCAATAGCAGAGCTACAATAGCCAAACCTTTTTTCACATCACAAAACATTAAACAGCATGTGCAGTGGTAAAAAAAAGTACAAAACATGGACATTGGATTGTGGTGGTACACCAGTGTATTCTGTTATATTTTTGTGTATATATATGTTTTTCTATTCTCTCTTCCTTCTTTGTTCTGTGTTCCTTTATCTATACTTCTGGAACTTTCTTCCAAGTGTGGGTGGTAGGGTGACCTAGTTAGGGGGCAATGAAAAGAAAGAGCCCAGAGGGCAAGTAGGAGACCAGAAAGCCACTTTTGCTTTGGGTCTAGAAGAGGAAAGACGCATCTGAGAAAGGTCTCCAGGTCGGTGTTGCTCCACCTGAAAAAGGGTCACGATCAGATCTGAAGAAAGGAGATCATTATTAAGGACATTGGTAGACTAAGGATCCCAGACATTTTTCATCGATTTCCACAGACGGCCCGTCCCCAAAAGACATCCCAAGACAACGTTATCCAACCGCTCCACATCGATCACCAATTCGGGTACCCGCTCCTTCTAGAGAATATCTTTCTGTCTCTCTCATATTCTATCCCTTTTTTTTCCTCTTATATTTTTAGAATAAGTAGATTTAAGTTAGATAATAAGGAAATTTTTGTATCGTGAGGGTTCTTGTTCTGCTGTGTATCGGAACAGGTGTATTTTTTGGAATTAAGGAATCAGGAGGTCAGAATCTGTATGAACCTTTCTTGTATTAGTTACCACAAGAAAAATTAAAGCACGTTTTATTTGTTTTAATTCCTGTCTCTTTGTGAAAAACCACCTCTCACCACATGCATAAGACAACAGGATACATGTAAACAGTGGTGATATTCGAAATATTTAACAAAGGGTTTGCTAACAGAAAATTTTTCCTTAACAATTTTTTTTTTTGCTCAAATGGTGCATTAGTAACATTAATGCAAAAACTGACCTTAAGATACCCATATAAATAAAAAACATGCGTTCGCAAAATTAAGTCAGTTAAAATTTAACATTGTTTATGCCAGAACTATATTTTTTTGATAAATAATAATAAAAAAGTGTTCAAAATGGTTTATTTTGCACATATTTGAATATTTTTCATTCAAAATATTTTATAAACATAAAAATTGGCTATTTTTTAATCAGAAAAAGTCACAGGAAAAGCAGGTTTAACTGCTTTCCTTATGACTTTTTCTCAAGAAAAGACTTTTCTAAATCATTTATTTTATCATTAGGTATTATTATAATAATAGACAGATGTCATCATCTCTCGAAATACAATATCTTTTTTATTTCGCGATCGATAGCCCGACACGTGTACAGCAGCCATCTTGTATTTTCTCGCGCGCGTGGGATTGTGGGATCTCTCGTATGACTGGACCTAGTTTCAAGAACTCTCTTGAGTTGATTGCGATTAAACCTTGTTTCAGTCGAGATTGAAACGGTTGATGGAGGTTGTACAGTACCAAGGCAAACAGAGTATAAGGCTCTAGTTTAGTAGTGTTACAGAGTATAATATGTATATTTTAATATATTTTTTAAAAGAAACAAAACCACTGAGAAATGTTACGTGTGTTTAACAACGGGTTCGGAAAACTTTGAAAATGTTAACAACGGGTTCGGCCAAACCTGTGCGAACCCGCTGAATATCACCACTTCATGTAAACATGTTATATGGTTGGAGGAGTCAACTTTCACTGTGTTTCCTGCTTCCATTTGTGTTTATATCTGGAAATCACCAGACAAAACTTATAATGTTGACTATGTTAAACTCACTGTCAAGCATGATAGAGGTTTTTGTATGTTTTGAGATGCCATACCATTCATTCAACTTGTTGGGTCCGATAGTCATCCTCAAAGGTAAAGTAAAGCCTAGAGGTATCTGCATATTCTGAGTGATTCATCCCATGATCCAAACTTTGTTTCCAAATAGTGATGTAATTTTTTAGGATGGCAATGCTTCTATCCACACTGCTAGGTATGTTCGATCTTGGTTTGAGGAGCATTAAACTGAAGTTATGCATCTACCCTGGCCACCCCAATGATTACACTTAAATATTATTGAGCCTGAGTGAGGAATTCTTGAGAAAAAAGTTTGGAGATTTCCACTGCCTACTTCCTTCCATCAAAGAATTAGCAACAGTAGTAGTTGAAGAATAGTACAAAATTCACATTAATGTTGTTTGTTATTTATATTCGTCTATTCCTCAATGTATTTCATTTGCATTATCTGCAAGAGTCCTACCCCTTATTAATAAACAAACAGTGATCTTTTGCTTATGTTTGAATTTTTTCCAACCCCTACAGTATTTTCTATTCTATTATTCAGAAATAAAATTATTGTGGACAAATCATTTGGTACAAACCTTGTGGTCCAAACTGTGTAAAGTTTTATTTTATTTTACACAATAAGTAATTCTCAAGAGTAAGGAATAATCTCCCCACAAATAACAAGGACAACAAATTATTATTATTATTATTATTGAATTCTAAATATTACTTAAATTACATAACATGTAAATGCAGTAACTGAAAATATATAATTAATTAAAAATAACAAAAATGCTTACTTTTCACTGTCTCTTGATTATTATGAGTGATTTGTAATAACAGAGGAGAAAGTCTGCTATTACCATCCTTGATGATGATAAAGTCCTGTACATCAGTTAAATTGATTCTGTTAATCTTAAAAGCGACAACAGAAGAACCAGGACTTTGAATTATCCACTGGCAATTTGTCCATCCATCAAAACTGTCATCATAGGTTGGAGATGATATCCAAGCAAATGAATTTTCTTCAGTTAGTTGAATGTAAGAGCTGCATTCTAATAGATGAAAAATTTTAAAAAGTTAATTATAAATATTAACATATCTGAAAAATGAAATAAAAACAATTATTGTATTTCCTCAATTAAACCCACACCCTATTTTTAAAATGTATGTATTCTCAGGGTTTATTGAAGTGGGTTTTTTTAATACTTTGCAAAAAGTAAAAAGTAAAAATTGAAAGAAATAACTTCATTACTTGTACATTTTTGGAACTATCAAAACTGTTTTTTGATTGTATTTTATGTGTTACAGTCACAACATTTAATACAGTTGTGACATTCACACCTGCAATGCCCCAGGTCATCACACCTGGTTACTTACATATGATGCAACTGGAAATTTGCAGGCTGTCTNTTTTTGTTCTTCGCTTATTTTTTAAAATAAAACATTGAACGTTTCCATTTTGCTTCTGTGTACTAAATTGCTATAAGACAAAACTAACTGTAACACGAGTAAACAAACTCACGTTGATTTGTTTACAACTTGTTACAGTTAAGTTGATTGGTCGATTCATTATAGTCGCAAACCCAGATGCATTGTAAATAATTCCATCATGCTTAACGACACACGCAACCAAGTGAGTATGACGTATTTCCGCTCACCTTTCGAGTTTGCTCGAAGAGTCTAACTCGAGACTACCAATTATGTGAGTCATAGTAACACGAGTGAGTTCAATGACGTCAGTTCGAGTACAACACGAAAAACTCAAGACTAAGGGCCCAGTTATTTACCAGTGAGGAACAATGGTGAATACTAAGAAAAAGCTGACACGATGTGAGTGGTCAGTGTGTGTCAAGAAGAAGAAAAAATATTCGTCATCAGTTCTCAGAGTCTTGTATGTATGGTCCTAGCAGTATACAATGTTCTTTGTTAAATAAAACTTTTGTTCAGTTATCTCAACTTTGTCTTATCTGTGCTACCACATTACCAGCAAACACAAAATTTCAAGATAACCACAACAACTGGTGAGCTGAACTTTAAACTATTTGTCATTTTTTGTCTGTAATGTCTTTGACAGCCAAGGTAAGAACATCTTTGTTTCATTCCCACTACTCAGCTTCCTTCAATGAAATTCATTGTGTCACCTACAGAGCACCCCTGTGTTCTAGAAGGAAAATCCAGCATTATGATTTATGCAAGTACAGTAGAGCCTCGATTATCCGACCCCCGATTAACCGACACCTCGGTTAACCGACCATCCTAGTCGGCAAATTTCAAATGTCCGCTAGTGATGTGGCGCTACAATATTTGGCTATGTCTTAGCTACTTTATTATTATTTTTACGTGTTTTAGCTGGCAACACTGGATCGACCATGAAAGGGAGCCAGTATTTAAACAAGGCTTAATTTTCTAATTTTTAACGATACAATAGCGACAATTATTATTTTAAAAAATTTTTGTTAGATTTAACATCGATGAAAATTCAATGCGAAGTAGGTTAATAGCGATATAATAGTATACTAATTACATGGGATATAATAATATACTACACTAATAATGAATTTTTTCATACTTTTTGGTTATCCGACTTTTCAATTATCCGACCAACCCCAGTCCCCAATTGAGTCGGATAATCGAGGCTCTACTGTAGAATCTCATTTCATCATCTAGAAAATAACGACAGACTCAACTCGATTACACTATGTCATGACTGCATTCAAAAGTGATATCCTTACGTGAGTATATACCATCATCCAGCATTCACCTACAACAAATATATATAACACACTAAAAACTAAACTCTTAGAGTGTTTCTTGGACTTGGAGGAACAGACTACATTTCTTTGTCCAAGACCTCAAGCTTGAAGACCAGAAACCATCTCGCCTACTGTGTAGAATGCAAGAACTAGCTACAAGCATGACAGGAAATAATATACTTTGATCTCTTTGGTTACAAAGGCCTCCATTACAGGTTCAGCAGATACTTTCATCTAGTAATGAAGGACTATCCACTCTGGCTACCATGGTGGACAGAATTTGGAAAATAATAGACTTGTTCTCTCACAACTCTGTCCACACCATCCAGAACAACTTCACTAAAGACCAATCTAAAACCAATCCTTTGCAAGTGGTCACTATAGTCCATGAACTACAAGACCAGATAGTGGAAATTCATTCCAAACTAGATAGGAACATTTCTTCATCAAGGGAGACCAAACTTTCGATTATATTTACCCATGATCGTCTGCTTCAGAACAACACAGATAGTGCTGGTATTATTGTATCTTCAGACACCAAACTAAAAAGTGCTCACCTATGTGTTCCTTCCTGGGAAATGCCAAGAGTTGTCACTCACAATCACAAGTAATAACAATGACAAACCCCACAGTCTCTTCATTACAGACAAACAAATTAGGCAATGTTTCCTAATTGACACAGGTGCTGATGTCTCCATCATTAGCTAAACACCAACAAAATGCCGAAATTCTTTCGGGCTAGTTTAAGGCTAATTACTAAATGAATTACGTAACCAATTTGGCACTAGAGGTAAGCGTTAGGCACCATCTCTTATTAACATTAATAATTATAAATAAAATTAATTAATTTAAATAATTTAGAACTGCTGGAAGAAAAAATCGGCCCAGAGCGGGACTCGAACCCACAACTCCTGCTTACCTTCATTTAGTAATTAGCCTTAAACTAGCCCGATAGAATTTCGGCATTTGGTTGATGTTTAGCTATATTATATATCGGGTTTAGCGATTTTTGTCTCCATCATTCCAGCAAAGAGATAAAGGCAGAAACTGCCTTCAAACATTGCCGCTTTGCTGCCAATGGTTCAGTAATCTATACTTTTGGTGAGCGTTTGCTCATGCTTGAACTTCACCTCTGCTGCAAGTTCACCTGCCTGTTCATCATTGCCACAGTTTCACAACCAATCTTAGGAGTGGACTTTCTTTGTAAATTCAGCCTGTTGATCAACATAAAAAAACTGCCACCTTCTCAATCAGCAAACACACCTCCAGGCAACTAGTTGCCTAGAACACTGCCCTGCTTCCGGTTTAAGCTTCATGTCAGCAGACACACCATATCACCAACTACTTACCTGTTTTCCAGAAATTGAAACAAAAAAAACCAACACCTCCCAAACATGACATAGTCCACTAAATTTAAACTATTGGGCCTCTTGTCTTCACTCTTCCTAGGCACCTACCTCCTGAGCACTTACATGCTGCACATGAAAAGTTCAAACATATGATGCAACTGGAAATTTGCAGGCTGTCTAAAAGGTAGCTGGGAGAGTCCCCTTCATCCTATTAAAAACCCCAACATTTATTCGTGCCCTTGTGGCAATTATTGTCAACTCAATGCCATCTCTGTTTCCGACAGATGCACATTACCTCACATTCAAGACTGCATACAAAATGCATGATAAAAAGATTTTTTCGACCCTCGACTTACAATGGGCATATTATCAGATTCCTGTGTACACAAACAACATCCTGAAGACTGTGGTTACTACCCCCTTTGGCTTGTTCAAGTTCTCGTTCATGCCTTTCGGATTATGTAATGCAGCACAAACCTTTTCAGCATTTTATTCATCAAATGCTCAGAGGTTTAGATTTCTGCACCCCTATTTAGATGATGTACTAGTGGCTTCCAACTCACCCAAAGAACATACATAACACCTAGAGATAGTTTTCCAGCATTTCCATGATGCTGGCAATGTGCTTAACTCATCAAAGTGTACGCTTGGAAAATCTTCTGTTACCTTCCTTCCTTAGACACATCATCGCCTCTGAAGGAATTCAGTCTCTTCTAGAACACATCACTGCTCTTATGGATTCCCCAGAACCAATTACCATCTAACAACTTTGCCAGTTCCTAGCCATGTTAAACTATTATTACAGGTTCCTACCAGGGCAGCATAATAGAAGCATCACTTGTAGCCTATCTCATTGTCATAAAAAAAAGCAATCAAATGCCAATTATTCTAGCAACTGAAGTCTGTGAAGCATTTGTGCAAAGTGGCAACCTTTAAACAACAACTGGCAGAAGTCACTTCAGTGGCATATCTATCTACAAAGATCCTGGCTTTAATGGTCGATGCATCTGATACTGCTATCACAGCGGTCCTCCAACACCACCATGTCAATGGATGGCAACCTTTAGCCTTCTTTTCCCATAGGCTAACTTCTACTCAAAAGAAATATAGAGCTTATGATAAGGAATCACTAGCAATGTATGAGGTGATCAAGCATTTCCATGCTGAAGAGCTAGCATTACACACTTTACACTGATCACAAACCACTCACTTTCACATTCTGGAAATGACAGGATAGTAATTCATCTCTTCAAATTTGCCAGTTAGACTTCATCTCTTAGTTCATGACAGACATCCAGCACCTCAAAGAACTAGACAACACCATCACCAATGCACTGTCTCAGATTGAAACCATCGACACTCCATCGCTGATCAACTTCCACCAAATCACACAGGAACAAGACCATGATGGAGAACTACAGATGCTACTCAAATCCATGTCATCTACTAGCCTTGATGTATGACTGATCCAGCTAGATGACACAACAAATGGCATTATTGCAATGTTTCTTCTGGAGCAGTTTGACCCTGGAGTTAAAATTTGCACCATGCAATCTTTAACTCCTTTCATGATATTTCTCATCCAAGTATACATACAACTTCCAAAATGCTCTTCCAGCATTTCATCTGGCCTTCTATTAACACCACCACTGCCAAATGAACCCCAACCTTGCATAATCTGTCAACGATCAAAGATCATTCAGGCATAGAACCAGCACTGTTGGCAAATTCACCCTGACATCTGAGCAGTTCCATCACATCCATCTAGATATCATCAAGCCACTTCCATCCTGTGGTTTTCTTACTTGTGTTGACAGATTTACAAGATGACCTGAGACAATACATTTAGCCAGCATTTCTGCTGATACAGTGGCCAGTCTTCTACTCTGCTTGGGTAGCATGTTTTGGAGTCCCAGCTTGTGTCACCACAAACCATGGACACTAATTCGA